TTTGAGGGGTGTCACAGTCTGGGGCAGAGCCACCACTGGGGAGCTGGCCCCTCCTCACCCAGCAGGCTTCATCAGGACCTCACATTCACCACTATCACAGCTCCCTGTTAAAAAAACCTGGCTCCTGCATCACCCATAGCTTTGCCTTAAGAAGCACAGCGCCCTGTCCTCTGGAACAAGGACATCCTCGACACGAATAAAATGCCATCAGATAAAAGAAAGATGGAGTGAATACTCCCAACCTCAGGTACAAACAGCTCCTACCGCAGATCTCATGGAGCATGATGGTCCTCTAAGTCTCCTGCTCTGCACCAGCAGCTGCACATCTAGGAAACAGTTAACCGGCGGGGAGCACGCTGACGTCAAACCCCCCACACGGGACACGAGTGCGTTAGGGCTCTGCAGGGACTGCTGTGGATGGAGCAACAGCCCCGTGGTGCTGCAGAGCCCACGGCAGAGCTCTCCCAGGAGCTGGGTGATGGATCCCCGTTTCCGTCCCGCCGTTCCCCGGGCGAGGGGAATACCGGGTGCGCGGCTGGGGGATCCGCGTGCGGAGCTCAGTGATTCATCCCAGCTTGTAAAAACAGGAGAGGTGGAAGTCTCTTTGTTTCGCACAAGCCAACGAGCCTCTCTCCTTTGTGCGGCGGCGCTGGGCTATTTTAAAGCACGTTAAACAAAGGAAGTCACGGCGAAAGCAAGAGAAAAGACTACACAGCTCGGGCACCGCCGCCGAAGGGAAACATCACGTAGGAAGGAGGAGAAGATGCGGGGCCGAGGGAGGAGAGGGAGCCTGGAGGCTGTGCAGCCCGGCACATACGCTGCTGGCACCCGGCCCCGCGCCGCGCTCGACCTCCACCGCCGACCTCGGCGGTTTACATTAGTGTCCAGATGTTTATTTAAGCCCCCGCTCTCCTGAAAGCTAGGTGCGGCCTTGCTCCTCTCCTCTGACCCAAATGCCCTTTGAAATACAAGCAAAAAATGAAATGGGTTCTGTTTATCTTAGCGGCAACCGAGATAGGAGCTGGGGAGCCTCGCCGTGCTGCTGCCCCGAGCCGCTGCCTGGAAGCAGCCCTGGGTGGCAAGACTGGAGTTCAGATATTCAGCAGACTTAGTCAGACGTCTTTGAGAGCTGAAATAAGACAGTTTAAGGATTTACTCTGCAGGGTTTGTAGCTGCACGGCTGGAGAGGAACGGTCTGGGGAGAGAAGAGGGTGTCGAAAGCTGCAAGAGCACAAGGCAGGTGCTCTGATGACACCTCTGGCTACTTAGAATAACCCCACAGACCGCAAAAAGCTCTAAATAAGATTGCTCTAATCTAAGGAGATGGAAAGGTCCTGCTTAGGTCCCTTCAGATATTGCCATTTTACGTGTATCAGGCCGTATCCTGCACGGATGGGCAGGTAGCTCTTGATAAATAATACATTTTCTCCATCCCTTGTTTCTATGATATTATGGCCCTGTGAAAACTTGGAGCTGGCAAGACCAGCATTTCAGCTGAAAAAAAATACTGGCCCATTTTCATGATTTGGGGGATGCACTGAGCACATCCTTCCCCAAATCCCAAATGCTCTGTTGGGTAGTAGAGCTGAGGGGGGTTCTGTGCTTCTGTCTGCAGGACAAGCGAGGCTGCGGAGAACTGCCTAATGCCAACCACAACGTTACAGGGTGACCACCAAGAGAGAAGATACCCCATCTTTATCAGCAGGCCCATGACTCACAAATCCTCCTGAGACATAGCAGTTGCCTGAACTGGGAGCTGGACAGGGTGATAAATGCAGACAAAAAAAAAATATATATATATATATATGCTACAATAATGTAAATATGTGTGGTCTGCTTCTACAGGCAGCACTAAGCGCCTCCAGAACTTTACAGGTAATTTTGTTTCATTGCAAAGCTGCAGTGCCATATTCTGCTCACAGCAAAAGATTAGTATTATTGTTAGGAAAATTAATTCCCTTCATGTGGGTGCATTCTCTGCAAACAGGTAATTTTCCAGGTAGTTTTGTTGGTTTTTTTTTGAAAGTTACGGGCAGCACAGCGCACGGTCAGTTGTTCTTTAGCAGAAGCTGGCAGCTGGAGCAGCAAGGGACTGGGGCTGGTTTTGAGGATCAGGCACGGCTCTGGAAACGCGTCAGGACTCATGGAGGCCGACGACAGCACACCCGGGGAAGAGAATTCCCCTTTTTGCCAGATTTCTGTCGCATCCCCGCTGGCTCGTAGGGCTGCGGGGTCCCACTGTGCGAGCGGCGCGCTGATGGCAGCGCAATCAGGATCGTTAGCTCACAGCGAGATCAGCTGCTCATTTCCTCGCTTCTCCTGTAATTAACTCACATCTTTAAAAAAGTATACGCACATGTTTTAACTGATGCTTTCCGAAACCCATCAGCGTACAGCCAGGATGCCGTCCCGCATGGCGTTTCCCCCCAGCGATTCCTTTTTGGTGCAGGGCTTCTGAGAAGCGCCCCGCGCACACGTCTGCCCGAGATCCTCCCTCTATTGCCTGCTGTTGTTGCAACCCTGGATTTTCTAAACTACGTCTGTCAGGAAGGAGACAGGAAATTCGAGTCACACTTGCAACAGCTGTGCCATGCCTACTATCAGTCTCAAATGACGTAGTTTGGCCGGGGTGGCGCGGGGCCAGGAACTCGGCGAGAGCGGAGGTCAGGAAGATAGGTCACTGTTTATACTGCTCTTGCACTTGGGAGCCTGCTGAGCCTATTTGCTTTCTTCCTATCTATACTGTTTCTCTTTCCGTTTTTTCTTTAATAACGCCGAGCCCAAGCATCCTGTTTTCAAAACATCTCAACTGTTTTGCTATTTACCGGTGACAAATTTAAATGCCTTTGACCCAAGCAGGGAGTTTGAGTGGGATGGATCCTTGGCGAAGGGCAAAACCTGACCAATTAAGGACCGTTGCAGCCTCCTCCTGAAGATGCACGTTTCCAACCCAACGGGCTCCTCTTAACTGTAAGATCTCTCTGCAGATCGCATGTCTGCTACCGAAACCCCAAAAGCCACAAACCCCCAAACTAACTTGTGTCAATATTTGCCCCTGGTGAGGAAAGGAAAGCGAGGTGTGAGGCCATTTTATGCTTTTCTTTCACAGATGAAAACGATACTGGAAGTTGACCAAAAAGTGCAGACATTTCAGAAACAACTGGTTATGAAAGAACAAAGTTTCGGGAACCTTTTGCTCGACCCAGCTGCAAGCCATTTGCACACTGAGAGATCACAACTTCTAATTACTCTAACAGGCAATTTAGGTAGCCTTTCACCTTCACGAGTCCGGATTTGGCTGGTTATGAAAGAACAAAGTTTCAGGAACCTTTTGCTCGACCCAGCTGCAAGCCATTTGCACACTGAGAGATCACAATTTCTAATTACTCTAACAGGCAATTTAGGTAGCCTTTCACCTTCACGAGTCCGGATTTGGCACTTAGTGAACAAAAATCCTCTCAAAACGAAGGGCATCAGCGCCCACATTGGAGGTGCAGCTTTCTCTGCAGCCTAAACCCTTCTCAACTTTCACCCTGGCTTGCCTCAACACAAACTCAAAAAAAAAATAAAAAAAAAATATTCCTTTCTTGAAAGCTCCGTCTATAAAACTTTTATTGCTTCCTTTGCCCCTGCACGTCGTGGTAATCACTAACAGAGGAGGAAGCTGAAATAACACGGGATTACTCCGCTCAACTTTTTCCATAAAATCAGTTTATGATTCAGCATTTCTGATTTCATTTCTTACCAATTAGGAAAAAAAATAATAAAATAATATAATCATAACACGGGGTTTGCGCGGTACAACTCAGAACTGGCTTTAACCACCACAACTGCTCAAAGGCAGGGATGCAGAGGACGCAGCCCTCATCCCGAAGATGGAGCAAGCCCGTTCTTGGGACTGTATGACCTGCTGCATCGGACAACGCCGGGCCGAAAACACTGCAGAAAAGCCTGGATGAAGAAGGCCGGGGTGCGGGGAGCAGCCAGCCTGTCCCGGGGGTGCAAAGGCTCGGGAGGCAGCCGAGGGATGCCCCGGGGAACCGGCTGGGATCAGAGCAGGGAGGTGGCCCCGGGGGAAGGGAGTGCCTCCCCATCCTCCGCCAGCCACCCCGGCTCTCACCCGGGGAGATGCTGAAGCCAAATTTGCCCTGCGATGCTGGATGCAGGATGGGGATGGAGAGCCCGGCTCCGGCACGGAGAGTCGGGAGGGGGGGGGAGTGGAGGGACACGAGGAACATCAGCTGCCAAAAGATGATGCCCCAAAAGGGCGCTCAGACCTGGCATTTGGCTCGATTTCCTCTCCTCGGGGCACCCCTGGGACCCTGCTCACCCTCCTGGTTCTCTGACTTTTAGCACAGCGGACTCCTCTTACTTTATTACTTCATTCCTCGCAGAAAAACTCAAAGCTCACCTTAAAAACTTTAAAAAAAACCAACAAACCAACAAACCAAAAAGGTGGCTCCTCTTGGAGCTCCTTCCCTGTGCACAATCTTTGCCTTTGCACCCTCCCGAAGCGCTGGCAAGCGGTGCCGAGCCAGCCCACCACATTAAAAACAAAATTAAACGCTTACCGAAAGACAAAACAGCAATAAAATAACGTACCACAATGTTTAGAGTTTGCCATTATTACGGACAGACAACAATGAAGATAATTGACTTTTGAAGTGATAATTTGTTAAAGGCGGGCGTTTTTCGCAGTGTTTTTTTTTTTGCTAATATCGGTTCCGAAGGGACCGGCGCTAATTGAAGCCTCTTTTACTTCTCGGAAATGAGCCCGGCGCTCGGGATCGCCCTCCCCGCGCCGGCACCGCCAGTTTTTCCTGGCCGTGTCTGTGCGGGGGGAAACCCGCACCTCCTTCCCGGGCAGAAAACTTGGAGTTTTTTCTCCTGTACAGAGGCGCTGACGGGGCGGGCATCAGGCTGCCGTGCTCCGCATCCCCCTCTCCGCATCCCCGCATCCCCCCTCCCCGCATCCCGCATCCCCCCGCCGCTCGGCTCACCTTGTTGGATGCCATCTCGCTGACGGAGCGGTAGGTCTGGATGGTCTCCAGCTGATCCAAGCACCAGTCGAGCTCCTCCAACGTCTCCATGGCCAACTTCTGGTAGGGTTCCTCTGCGAAGAGGCAGACGGACATGTAGTCGGGCTGGCGCGGCGGCGGCGGCAGCCTCTCCATGGCGGGGCCGCCCGCCCCGCCGCCAGCGCCGCCGGAGGTGCCGCACCGCTCCCTCATCATGC